GTGTTAATGTTTCGAAAATATAAGGTTTAAAGAAGGAAGAAAGAAAAGTAAGGTTCCAAAAATATTTCAACTTATTAAATGTAAAGAGTTTTTAATTCCTATCATCTTTCAGACACTTCCTAAATTTAAAAAATTATCTGACTTTATTTGTAATAGTGGTATATTATTTCCAATGTGTTTACAACTGAAGAGGTTATATGCCAAATTACTTTTTCAATCTTCAGGTATTGGTTCAATCAAAAAGAATTTTAATACTATTTGTGCTCTTGCAGCTGTTTCAGTACCAGTTGGTTTATTTATTGAATTAGACAATGAAAAAATCTTTTACTTAACCCTCATAAATCAACCAGAATTCTTTCCTAAGGAGGGTCTAGTATTTTCATTAAATCCTTCACAAAAAATTTATACCATTAATAAGTCAAACACTGCATTTCATGTAGAGTCAATGAAAGTAGGTACAGTATTTAATAGCATAGTATTTGGATTAAATGATCAAAATTTCTTGTTAAAAATTGTTGGCTTGGGTAAAGTAGATAAAGAAAAACTAAATTGGATTCAAGAACGAAATCCAATTAATTTAAATATTCATTTTAATCCTCTTTCAAAACAACCACAGAGACTTACTAGTATTTGTTTAATGTCTTTTTCAAATATTCTTCTTTCTGAAAAAAAAAGTGATGAAGCTATTCAGAGAATGAATAATGATTATTTTAATAAAGCCTCAGAAGAAATTATTGAAGACACGATGATTAGATTACTAAATGAAAAGTATCTAATAATGGACACACTCAATAAGATGGGACATCCATTTAATGAAGAAGCTGAACAAAACAGAATATTTTTATTAAAGCAACAAACAAAAGTATGTTGTACTATTTCCAAGTCTGAATTAAATAAAAAAATAGCAAAAGGATTTACTCCTATTACTGAAAATTGTTTTATAGGACAAACAAAGCAAGAGTTAGAGCAATGTTATTCCAAGTTAGCATTAGCAAAATTGATTGAAACAAAAGATATATTATTAACATTATCTATCAGTATAGCTAACTCTCAATATGCAGAAGTATTATTACATAAAAGAATAAAAGATATTTTACCAAATGAAATACCAGAAATAATATCAGAACGAACAAAGTTAATATTTTTTATGTATTTTGACAATGGAAATATTATGGGATTGTATTTCCAAAAGAAAATTCCACGGTGTGAGCAACAGAGAGAAATTATAATTGAGAATGATGCAAACCATGTAATTGTTAATATAAACAGGAATGACAATAATAAATTGGTCAAATATAATTTGATAAGAAAATATGAATCCATCTGTTTATTTGGTGGTAAGGATGATAGTTTTATTATGAAATTAAATGAGATTGGTTTTTTGACAAAAAGTGGAATCTGGATAGAATATGCTAACAACAAGACTCAAATAAAATATGAACAACTTAATAGTTTAAGTAGTATTACAGGGTGTCAGAGTGGAAAAAAAATAAATGTAACGGAAGTGATGATTATTAGATTTATTAACTCACCAAATGAAGATGATAAAATGTTTATAAATTGCTATAATTACATGTCATTAACAAAGGACAATCAAGAACAAAAGAAGGTTGATGAAATAAAAATACAAGAAGATATTATTGAAGAACCAAAGAATCCAGAAAACATTATTCAGGAAAAAGTAATTAAAGAAAACGATAATGTAATGGAACAGGAACAGTTATTAACAAATGAAACTATCACAAATACAGAAACAGATTTTTCATTAGAAGATATTATTGAAAATAAAGAAGTTTTGGGAACTATTGGAATTGATATTTTCAAACAAGGGTATGCAAAAGTATTACTAAGTAAACAAATGAATGAAATAGATGATTGTGAAATACAAAAGTGTATTGGAGGACATTCTTATATTCTTATCTTTTTAAAATTTAATTATGGAAATATTCTTGGAATATTCTTCCAAAAGACTCTCCCACGATTTGGTGGAAAGTCAAGAATAAATGTTATTCAAGATTTTGGTCATTCTTTACTCAGTATAAACACAATTAATCTTATAGTTAAAAAATATAGTTGTATCAATAGTCAAAAGAAAATATCTTCCTTTGGTAAGAAAGAAGATACTTATTTATTAAATATAAATGATTTATTACTCTGGAATAAAGATGGGACATTTGTTGAAATATCTACAAATGATTGCAATAATAAATATCTTGACTTTAATTCTTTTACCTATGTCATTGGTTATAAACCATCTATAAAACTTATTGTTAAAGAGGTTATGGTTATTCATCTCAATCAAAATAGTATCTCAGATAATGGTTCTATGTTAGATTTATGGAAATTGCAACATTTTAATATAAAGAAACAGCAAATAGCAAAGTTACAAAAGAGTACAGAAAAAGACCAAAAAATAGTTTCAACAGATAGAATTATTTCAAAAGAAATTGTTGGAAATTTATGTTCTCATTTAAAGACTTCTCAGTTCTATGTTTTATTTGATAGTGACACAACACCAGAATTAAATGACAAGGTATTTTGGGAAAGCATTTGTGGAAATAATAAGGTATTTATGATAGTTGAAATGAACAACCAAACAATTTTTGGATGGTTCTTAACTACTACTATTCCATTGATGGAATCAAAAGATACTCTTGAGGTTAGTAAAACAAAGAAAGATTTCTTTTTCTATGTTAATCAAAATAATAATATTACTTATTATAATTCAGTAGATGAAACTAAAACTATTATGTGCTATGATAAATCAAATTATAATCGATATGGAACAATATTTTCATTCAATAGTGTATTTCAATTGAGAAAGGACTATAGCCTATTTATTGCAAAGAACCATCAATTAGAAGTTAAGTTTAAGTATTGTCCTTCTATTATAGAAATAATAGGAGAAGGAAATAAACGACAAATAAATTTTAAGAGATTTATTGTATGTACATTAAGTGGTAAGACAAAAGGTAAAAAATTAGTTGTGGTAAATAAACTACTTTCTTTTCAAAGAGAAGTTAAAGAAGAAAAATCTGATACAAAAAATAATTTAAATACTATAAGTAAATGTTATCAAATGAATAAGATCAATCTTTTAAATTTAATACAAAGCAAAGAAATTGGAGATCAATTAAATTCTCTTGTTCAAAACAAGGGAATTAAAATTCTTTTGATTCAGATACAAAAATAAATAGAACCTGATGAGTTTCGGATTGTATCATTGGA